CCCACCTCTTTCGTCATGTTCTAATAGAAATGAGGTGCTATTGGAATCAGGTCCTGTAAACAAATGTTGACATAGAGTTTCACACATCAGAATTTGTCCATCAGTTGTACCTGGTTGTATGTCGTTATTCAGAAATCCTAACCAAAGGTCCTAAGGTTCCTAAAAGTACATATTCTCCTGTCAGTCTCGGCAGCAACTTACTTAATCTTCACTCTGATTCGTAAACCTTGGGAAAGTGCTCTCTTTATGATGCAGAGGATTAAGCCTTACACAGCCTGTGATTAGAAAGAGACAGCATGGTCACAACCTTTTGTCCCCAAAGGTCACACTCACTGCCAATTCTTGGAGTCTCTTTTGGGTAAGAATCTCCAGTTGGCTGGGTGGTGGCGTATGCCTTTAATCCTGGCACTCAGGAGGCAGAGGCAGGCAGATCTCTGTGAGTTCAAGACCAGCCTGGTCTACAAGAGCTAGTTCCAGAACAGGCTCCCAAACTACAGAGAAAGCCTGCCTTGAAAAATCAATTAAAAAACAAACAAACAAAAAAAAACAAAACAGAAGCTCCAGTTGATGGCAGGATCAATGTCTGACTGTCATCTACACTTCAAGTCAAAGTATAGGATTACATATGGCCCCACTCATGGGTGATGGGAGTATATAATCTTTTTTAACAATCAGGAGAGATTTCAGAGTGGAAGCATAGGCAATGAGTATTTAAATATTTTTCTTCATAAAGCCTTCCTCCACCTTCCTGAACTCAGCTGAGCTAGTCAGACTTAAGCCAAAATGAGTTTGCAGTTGTACGTATTCATTTATGATGTAGTATCACTAATGCTTGTATGCTCTAGAGTCCTCTCTCGTGCTTTTTCCAGTTCTTTCTACAACCCACAGCAGTCAGGTTCTGTGCTGACACCAAGCCGTTTCCACATTAGACAAGCCCAAATCGACCCTCTGAGAGCCCCTCTTCTTGTTCTATGCCAGCTGCCTACTTGGTGCTTCCCCTCCCTGGCCCTTCAATGTTCTGGTCCCTCCTAGGCTGACTCATTCATCTCTCTAGCTTACAAACGTCAGGGACTGCAGAGCTCCCCCTCTGCATCCTCCCCATCACCAAGGTTCTGAGCATCATGCAGACACTGGTGATGATCCCAGCCAGACATTCCTTGGTTGGCTCCCTTCCCTCATTCCCGCCACAACCTCCATCCCCTACTGTACTCCAGCCCCTAGTTTACTTTAAACCAAATTGTGGTCATATCATAATTTTCCCATACGATTTTAGTATACATCTGTAAATGATAGAGACCTCCTTGTATCCTCAGATGACATGGTATTGCACCTAAAAATAAGAAGTCCTAATGTATCTAATTTCTAGTTGCCTCAAATGTGCCATCTTATTCATTTTCACAGTTGATTTGAATCAGGATCTTGAAGCTGTTCCTTATTTATGTTTTATTTATTTGTTTATATTTATTTATGTATGGGTCCATGTGTGTGCTACACCTTTCATATAGAGGTCAGAGGACAACTTCTTTCACTGTGTGAGCCCCAGGGATCCAAACCAGGTCATCAGACTCAGCCGCAGGCATGAGCCATCTCACTTGTCCCTGAAATCATATTTAATCCTCTTTTCTTCCTACCCAACTTATGATCCAGTGCATTATTTTTAAATGATGGCTAGCATCTCCTCACTTGCACAGGCTACCCTTAGCTCTGCCCACATGATCTTTTTTCTGGTTCTCCTGTCTTCTCGGAACCCTCATCATCTTAGTCGAGGCTAATTGGGAGCAATCATGTCACAAGACAGATAATATCACATGTCTCCTTCATTCAAAACTCCGTTGACTTCCCAATTTACTCAGAGGCAAAAGCCTGAATCTTTAGTATAGTTATGTATTAGAGGGGAAAAAAAGAAGGGAACAAGAGAGGATAATGGGAGAAGGCAAATAGCACATTTCTTTCATGTGAAAAATCTAGGATCAGCATACATGCAGGCATGCATTTATACATATGAACCATAAAAGCAGAAAGGGAATTTTCTGAGGGAGGAATGGAACCAATAGGAGTGGGGAGGGAGGTCAGGAGAGGGCACAGGGAATGAGCGTGAGTAAAGCACAGTGAAACACGTGTGTACAAACATCGAACCACAGAGATACACGTGTGTAAAGATGTCGTAACAAAACCATTGTGTTGTATGCTAGCCAAAGCTGTTAGTTTTAAAAACTGAACCAGGCGGTGGTGGCACACGCCTTTAATTCCAGCATTTGGGAGACAGAGATGGGCAGGTCTCTCTGAGTTCAAGGCCAGCCTGTTCTACAGAGTGATTTCTAGGACAGGCTCCAAAGCTACAGAGAAAATCTGTCTCAAAAAACAAAATGAGAACAAACAAGATTAAAAATAGATAGATAAAACTAAATAAATAAATGGATATGATAGATAGACAGACAGACAGACAGATAACTGAAAACTTGCCAGGTGGTGGTAATGCACACCTTTAATCCCAGCCATCAGGAGGCAGTGGCAGGAGGATCTCTTTGAGTTTAAGGCCAGTCTGGTCTAGAGAAGGAGTTCCAGGACAGCCAAAGGTACCCAGAGAAATCCTGTCTCAAAAAACAAGCAAACAAACAAGCAAAACTCAAAACAAACAACAAAAAGGAACATGTTTACTCTTGAAAAGCACCTAGGTTTGGGGGAAAAAAAAAACTTGTGATTTAGGGTTTCTACTGCTGTGATGAAGCTCCATGACCAAAAAGCAAGTGGGTGAAGAAAGGGTTTATTTGGCTCACACTCCACACTGTAGGCCATCAATGAAGGAAGCCAGGGCAGGAACACAAGAAGGGCAGGAACCTGAAGACAGAACTGATGCAGAGGCCATGAAGGGTGCTGCTTACTGGCTTGCTCCCCATGGCTTGCTCAGCCTGCTTTCTTATAGAACCCAGGTCCACCAGCCCAGGGATGGCCCCACCCACAATGGTCTGGGACCTCCCCATTCATCACTAATTAAGAAAATGCCCTATTGCCAGATATTATGGAGGCATTTTCCCAATTGAGATTCCTTCCTCTCAGATAAATCTAGCATCTGTTAAGTTGACATAATACTGGGCAACAATTTGTATTGGAATTTCTATTCCATGATTTACTGGTGGGATCACCTTAGCAAATGTTCTTTCTAGGCTCATGTGCTATGTAGCAGTAAGTAGGGTCTTCATTATAAGATAGATAATTGACTAATATGCTTAGAAAATACTTGGCTCAAATTGGATGTTTGTCTTCTGTTTCTAATATTGGTATAAAACACCGACACCAAAAGCAACCTGGGAAGGCAAGTGTTAATTTCAGCTTACAGTCCCACATCATAGTTGTCATCAAAGGGTGTCAGGGCAGAAATTCAAGGCAGGAACCTGTAGGCAGGGCCTGAAGCAGAAGCCATGGAAGAACACTTCTTATTGACTTCTTTCCCAATGGCTTTCTCTTATAACATCTAAGGCCACCTACCCAAGGGTGGTGCCACCCACTGTGAGCTGGGCCTGACCACATTAGCCAGCAATTAAGGAAAATGCCTATAGGCCAATCCTAATTGGGACAGTTTCTCAATTGAAGTCTCCTCTTCCCAAGTGACTGTAGCTTGTGACAAACTGTTGTAAAGCCAGCCAGCACCACATCAGTAGATGTTGATGATGGCGCTATTAGTGATTTTATCTAAATGAGGAGTACAATGATGTCATAGTCTAGATAGTGTGGCTGACTGTACAATGAACAGAAGTTAATGGGAGATTAGTTTGTATTATTCATGCTAATTACGTGCTTTTGCATCTAGGTTTATTGGACACACAGAGAACTGTGTGTGACTTTTGGAAAGTTTTTTTTTTCCTTTTCCATACTTCTAGCGCCTATCTGTAAAATAAAGGCACTGAACTATATCAAAGTAGCACATAGCTTTATTCCCCTATGTCAGTGCTAGTTGATCTGTCGTGAGCACACGGGAAGCAGATTTAACTGGATTCTGAGTCTGGTCAGGAACCAGCTGATGAGTTTTCTGTGCTCTGTAGCAAGGCCCGCAATGAACAAGGAGGTCAATGAAACTGTTCTGGAATTTTCCAGGCCTAGACATATTGTTCTTCAGGGCCTTTCCTAGCTCCTTTGATTCATTTTCTGGGTCTTCTTAATGGCTCTGGGAGACTGCATGGCTGCTTACCTGTCCACAGGATTTGGAACACTCAGTGTCTTTGGTGTGGGAAGAGATGTCTGCTGTCTTGTCAAGATCCTGAAAGCAGGCCAGTAAGACATAAAATCGAGTCTCTGAGTGAGACAAAGACCTCTCTGAGATCTCATTGCAATTTCAGTGTTAAAATATGAAGAATTTCTATCAAGAGGGGAAAAAGGATGGTTCCCTGAAGTTCTCTAGATAATCCAGCTTGGGCACACCTTGCAGGTTGGTGTGTTTGTAGGTTTCTGATAGTAGAATATATAGTAGATCTACTGATTTTAGCTACACTGGACACAGTGGTGATCTGCATGGGAAGTTACAGGTTCCAAAAGACTGCTATATGTGGCATGAACCTAATTGGTCTTAATAATAAAAACCCAGAGTCAGATGTCAAGGGTGAAAGCTGAAAGATCAGAGAAGCAGAGCAGCCACCACTAGATAGACTTCTTACATCTACAGAGTCCTCAAACCAAAGGGGACAAGACCCTGTCACCATGAATCTTCAGACTGAATGCCTGAGCTCCTATCTCCTCCTGCATTATATTCCTCTCTCTGCCCAGCTGTATCCCTTCCTGTCTCCACCTTCCTGGTGCTGGTTTAAAGGCCCATGATTCCCAAGTACTGGGTTTAAAGGTGTGAGCCATCACTGCCTGGCTTTGTTTCTCTTTTAGAGTAAATCAATCTCACATAGCCCAACGTGGCCTTGAACCCACAGAGATCCATCTGCCTTTGTCTCCTGAGTGCTGGGATTAAAGCTGTGTGCCACCACTGTCTGGCCTCTACAGCTAATTAGCGGCTTAGCTCCACACTCTGATCTTCAAGACAGCTTTATTTGTTTGTTAGATCACAAACAAAATATCACCACAGCTATATACCTATGAATATGGGGTACAGACAGTTACTTTGAAAACCAATTTAGCCGCTTCTTTCAATATTGAGAACAATGGTTTCCAGCCTTCCTAATGCTATGACCCTTTAATACAGTTCCTCATGCTGCAGTGACCCCGGAACTAAAATTACTTCATTCCTACTTCATGACTGTAATTTTGCTACTGTTGTGAATCATAAGGTAAATATCTGATGTGACCCATGTGAAAGGGTCATTTGACTCCAAAGAGGTTGTAATGCACAGGCTGAGAAACACTGGTTTTAGAGTGTGAGACCAAGGGGTTTTCAGTAGTAGTTCTTAGCATCGGCACTGGGATTTGATTTCCAGGAACCTGCGGCAGGAAGCCCAGGTGTGGGTCTCTCTTTAGCTTTATATTTTTGTATGGCAAAATAAGATCACACCTTCCTCCGCTGGCATTTTCTCATCTTGAGGACACGATTCTTTTCGGCAGAGGCTGAGGTCCTGCTGTAACTGTGAGCTCTTCTGCTCTGCTCACAGATCCTTCTTCTCGCAAACCCTGGTGTGTTTTCCATGCCTTTCGTACAGACTTCTCTGTAAAAAGCTGCGGCGTCTGTGAACTTGGTACCCTGCTTAAGCAAAGACCACCTTCCTCTCACCACAATGTTACACTACCTCTATTGAAAATGGAACATTTCAGATGACTTTCTCAGAAACAACCGACACTAAGCATGAATTTTGGCCTTCGCATCTCCTCCCGCCTGGCACAGAGCTGGACAGACATTCTTGCAGGGGAATCTATGAATAAGACAGCAGTAATACACAGCTGAATATAATCTGGGTGGCGTTTGTAAATTGCCCCTCGTGAGCTGCAGCGCTTGTGAAAGATAATTTGTGGTTCTTGCAGAATTCCCTGAAAACTGGGTCTTTCATCTGCAGAGCATTTTGCAATTAAACCATTTCATTTCTCGTATTAACAAATGATAACTCCACGTTTGTTCATCTAAACAACTTGATTTATATTTTTCTGTGCTGAGAAGCTGTTGACATTTCAGAGTAAGTAATTATTTTCATTGCCAACTGCTGTGTGTGGTGACTGCAGGCAAGTGATGGAAATTTGAGTGTACATATGTATCACGTAAATCCTTTGCTTAAAGGCTACCTCCAAAACTACAGCCGTCTGCCTGTGTTGTCATCTGTACTTCGATATCTTATAGGATTAGAATGTTGACAAGCGTGGGTTCAGGCCACATTCATGGTTTGTGCTGGGTACTGGAAAGGCTTTGATGTAATCTCTGAGGTCCAGGCTAACCTACAGCATCTCCGAAGCATTGGCAGGGCACAGGAGACAGGCAGTCTTAAATCACTCATTAGAGGAGGCATGTGCTGTTGGCCCTGGGCGTTGCTGGGCATGTGGTAGCTCAGGCATCCCTCATGTGAGTGTCAGAATTCCATGTGGAATGCTCATGGAAACAGTTTGCGCCATGCCCGCTAACAGCGTGAGCTTGAATAACATTCGGTCAAATGGAAATGCAAAATAACGAACCTTCTCAGTTTCCTCTCGCATTCCATTCTGGGCCAACAACAACAACAACAAAGGCACAGTTCTGACAATGGAGAGACATGCTTTCGTGGCTTGAAACTAGCTGCTATATCCTTGGAGTAGGAACTCAGTCACCACACAGTTAAATCGGCCACCTTGGCACAATACAGAGGAGGTATCATAGTAAGTGACAGCCCGTGCAGCCATGGGTCTTTCTTAGGAACTCTTTCTGTTCTGGTCTTTTTAACATTGTAACCACTAATACGTATTAATTGCGCATACTAATGTGACTTTCCATTCATATATACATTGTGCTTTTAAACTTAGGATTTTATGGATCTAGTTTTATTTTGATATTTAGAGTGTTGGCTATTCACACTTCAGCTTCTTCTCCCAAGGAAACCTTAGCTGAATTGATACTCCAAAAAGACACTCAACCCTTAGCCCACTCAGCAGTGTGCAAGGTTCACACCATTTATAGCCCGCTAGGTGTCTGTCCATCCTGACATGTGCGTGTCCTATTTGTGTTCTCGTTTGGGAATAGACTACTGACTGGAGATCCAAACCAATTTTTACATGGCCTGGAGGCCTGAGTAGAGCCAGTACCCTGAATGGCAAATGTGCTTTATCCTTTGAACCAACTCCAACTGATTAGTTCTAGTTGCCTATAGTGCTGTCTTAAGAGACCATCTGTGGTGTATTTGAGGCTCAGCTGCAAAGTGTGCTGGGATTGATTAACAATGTCTGTCATGGGCTCCAGAGGAAAGCTTGCCCCATATTTGTCATTTTCTGCTTTTAGCATGTCTTTAACTCCTCTGTGCTCTCTTCCAGCGTGAAGCAGTTATAATCTAAAAAAGTGCCTGTTGTATAAGCAGAAAGAGTAGGTATAGGTATATTCCACTTTAAGAAACCCTAGCATAGAAATGCAAATTTGAAAAATGCATCAATCTGGAGCCAATTATTTCCATTACAGAAAAGATTCCATGAAAGGTCCCTTTAAATAGCAAGCTCCCCTGCTGCATTAAAACGATGATTCAATTTACAAAAATTCACTTTGCATGCAACTCTCTGGGACAGAGTCTGTGGGTCTTAGCAAGCTGTACCTGAACTCTTTAAAGCCATGCGTCGACATTAGCCAGGATGTCTGCACCAAGTACCTTGAGTGCCTCAGTAACTCCCTTACCCCTCAATCTTCCTTCTTCCTTCCTATCCCAGAGTGGTGAGCATACCATCTGGGTGATGACCAACAGCTACTGGCTCCCACCCGACATGGCTGTGTTTCATTAGTGGGTAAGCTGATTGCTCTGAGGGTGTTTATGTGTGGGTGTAGCTGTACAAACCATGCCCTCTGTGCATTGTGTGTGCCGATGCAGAAACACACGCACCATTCAGACTAATCTAAATTCATCCCTGCTGTGAGTGCTGGGGTAAGGTTCCAGCTGGTTGGTCCCTGCTGTGAGTGCTAGTAAGGTTCCAGCTGGTTGGTGGATGTGGCCTTCTGGTGATATCTGCCCTGTATCCTGGTTCATCCATTCTCTCTGTGTGCCTTCACATCAAAAAACCTTACCCAGGCACCAGGCCTGAGTCCCATTAACCAGACATGGAACTCTTGTCTTCTCCTGCAGCTTAGAAAGCCCCAAATGGCTTTCTGATTTAGAAAATTAAATATAATCTGACTCTTGTGGCCAGCTATGAAATTCCCAACCAACAGACATTTCCACTAAATATGTAACATGCACAACATCTAAAAGTCCCACCGATCTAGCATGAACTTGAATTATAGAGGCATCCAGTACCCCTCGGGTAAAATCACCAGCCTCTTCCCAGGCACTCCAACTGGTGGCCCCTAAAGCTCCCAAGAATGCCTATTGGCACACATGTCAGCATTCCTGTTGCTCTGAAGAACAAGTTAATCCAGGGAAATGTACCTAAAAGAGATGGCCTCTCCCTTTTTTGTGTTCCTGTGCATAGACTCATTGTCTTAACTCCTCAATTGCAAGGTATGCCTATTTTATCTATGATTCTTGAAAACTACACCATAAATTTCTTCCATAAATTTGGGTACTTTAAAAAAAACTGACACATGTTTTCTCTTAGTTGTTTTTGGAGACAAAACACGGGACGACTGCGGTGAAGCACATGAGGGCCACTCAGACATTTCTCTAGGTCCTTGGTGATCAAGGAGGACTTTGACATGGCGGCTCTCGGGCTGCTGAACGATCCATTGACTCCTTGCTTCCCATCTTCTCAGACTCACGGGTTGATGCTAAGAGTCTCCCATGGTACTGGGCTGTGATAGCTGCGTAGGTACAGCCATAGATAGCAGCCGCCAACATCATGAGACAAACGATCCCACATACCACTCCCGTGATAACCACAGTAGCCACAGCATGGCGCAGGTTGGCTGGCTTTGTTTTGGGTTTGGTCTCACACTCCAGGGAATCTTGCTGTCCAGAGTTATTCTCAGAAGGCTTGTGGACCTCTTGAAGGGCAGAACCAGGCTGCTGACCTAGTGAGGGCGCCAGATGTGGAGAAGGCAGAGGACAGGGTTGGTAGAGTTCATGGGGAATGGCGAGGAGATCTCTTCCCTTCCAGGGCTCAGGCAGCCTGCAGATGGCATTGTCTGTTACTCCCCCTTCAAGACACAAAGCAAAGGGCAATGATAGAGCTTTGATATGACAACATTCCAAAGACTTCAGCCTGCCACAGACTACAGAATTGCTATGAATTTATTAGAAACCAAGTTTCTGTACTATTATATAAAGGCTGTGGGGACCACTGAGCACATGCTGACAGGAACCATGAGGGCCAAACAGCCAAAGACATTGTGACTTCCACTAACCCTCCCACCCATTCCCCACCTTTTCCTGCCAGATTCTTGGTGGAAATCCAAGAAAGCACAAAGCGAATAGCCATTCTTGTGTTTGTGTGTTAATTGCGAAGACCCTATGTCTCTATCAACACTTTTTCCCTGAGTTGTTGGTCTCTGAGCATCTGACAATACCTTATGTTTAGTTCATGGGATTTAAGAGGCTCGTTTTCTAGGGCTTCCTGACATTTACTACTTTGAGTTCCAAGTGTCTCAAGGAGTTATTCACTGTGAATCTTGGTCTCTGTAAGGTGACTGAGTCCCTTGAGCATGTGCGATAGCTATCCTTCCCTGCGGTACTGCTGCAGGATACATCGGTCCACTATTCAGTTTCACATGCATAAACTTCTTCAAGTTTTCTGCTATCGGGACATCCTAGTTGTGTCTGACCTGACAGCTTAAAGTCCTCCCATTCTCTCTTATAAGGAATTCTTTTTTAATTCACACAGGGTATGAGTGAATAAATCAACACCCAAACCCAGCCCCTCCCCCCAACCAGTACACTTCCCTCTTTCTGCTTCTTCCTTTCTGGCATGTTCTGGGACCATGGCAGTGGCAGAAAAGCCTACTTGACTGGACAGGAACCATAGGAGCTGTGGCTTGTTTCTCTCAGGCTGTCCTACAAACCTCACCCAGGGAAGGGTGACAGTCTCCCTTTGCAAACACAGATTGCAGATTCTCATTATACATCATAGGGAAATTTTGTAATTAATGCCAAAAAGGCACACATGGTGGTTGTCACTTCAGCGTTATTGGCACGTGCCATTACATAGTAGTTCAGGCTTTGGGAGTTGCACGCCCATCCGTGTTATCTAATCATCGTAAGATGAGTCATAAGTGATCTACAAATAGATAGAGCCACCTCATAATACAAGATCTGCCACATGGCTCGGAAACTCTGGGGTTGACGACAGTGTCAAAATCCAACACATGTTCTTTTTGCTGCTATTGCTTAAAGTTGAACGACACACACCAGACTCCCTCCCCCACCAACCCCAGCTTCTGCATTAATCCCTTGAGGTATAGATCCTGGTTTTAAAGAAAAAAGACCAAAGAGGAATTTCCTGAGCCACTGGTGTTCGTGAAGCTAGAGGGACAATGTATTCATCCCAGCTGAGCCCAGCGCCCCTCCCAAGGGCTGAGATGATGGGGGCTCTGCCTCTGTGGATCTTACCTTCCTTTGCACCTGGCTATGGCAGCCCTTACTAGGAGCTGTGTGTCAAGGCAGGAAGTTAGAGAGACAGAAACCCAAGGGGAGAAAAGGCGTTTAATCCAACCACAGCACAGCATGGCTTCCACAAGGAGAACCCCGACTGCTAGGCCAGGCAGCTTCACTGGCCGATGTTCACCCAGGTTATGGTACATTGTATATTCTCTCCAGATTTCAGGTTTCTCTAGATCCGCTTTCCACTCTAGAATTGCACTAAAATCCATAGCTTTGAGACTCAGAGCAAAGGAAAGGCCTAATGTGAATGCCTGGACATGGCGGGAAGGCAGAGCCTATGGCTGGCACAGCCTCAGTAGCCTGGTGTACAACTTCTCCCAACTCCACTGCCATCTTAGGGACTATAACCCCAGAGGCAAATCTGCTGATTTCAGCATGAGGGTCTCTCTCTTAGAAAAGTTGAGAGAACAAGAAGCTCCAACTCCCAATCTCCATTGTCCCCCACCCGACACTGATAGTGTTTCACCTCTGTCTGTCTCGGAGGAAACTGAGTTCAAATCTTAGGTCTGTAGATAAGCTAACCGTTCTATTCTGTAAAGTTACAGCCTCACTCTGAGCCTCTGCTTGCATTCCTGGAAGTTGGGGAGAAAGGAATAATCATGAAATTCTCTTTTCAAGACTGTTCTGGGAACTCCTCCGATGGATACATTGTGTCAACTGTTCAGCATGTCACTACCGTACCCTGCAGTCAGCCATGAACATAAAAGGATAGGTTCACGCGTAAATAAAAGATGATCATTTACCTTCCTGTGTGTATGCTTGGGTCAAGGGAAGGTGGTTCTACATGGACCAAAGCAAATCTTTTTGCCCTTAGGCAGACAGGATACTACATTTTCCAAATCTTTTGGGTGTCACTTTAGGGACACAAGACTGAGCAAGAATGCTACTTCCAGGGCAAGATGGTCCTCTGTGTGATGTGTTGGTTGGTGACCTTAGATGTAATGAGATAAAGTTAGTGGCATTACAATCCAAGGAAGCTTAGATTCCCCAAATGATTGCATTGAATGAAGACCTTACTCCCACTCTGTTTGGACTCTGGCACAAGTAGGCAATAGACTTAAGCATACATGTCTGAAGGCGGGGGGGGTCTGTGATCTTACTCTGCTTTGGCTAATACCTTCAGTGTTTGCCTTTGTCTGTAACAGTTCAGACTAGCATCTGCCCATTAGCTTAGTTTTAGACATGAATGCAGAAGCAGACTGTCTCCTATGTTTTGCACCTAGTTCACACTTTCCCGTTCTTTATGCTGGAACACTGGGTCATGGCACCATGATCTGATTTTGCCTTTCCCTGAAAAGGGCCACTCTCCTGACTTGATAAGCATCACCTTAGAGCATTGCTGGATCAAGGGACCAGAATGAGCTTTAGCACGGTCAGCTTGGTAGCCCTGGTCCAGCTTTATGACTGAAGAGGAGGATGCCAGTCCTGCCTGCGCTGCTGTAGATGTCCTAGGTCTAGAAACTACATGCTTCTTTTTAACATTGACAAATGTTCTTCCTTGATGAAACTCCGTTTTGGGGGGATGGTTTGTTTTATGCCTGTGATTTGGTTATGAAAGCAATGGCTCTAGCCACCTCACCTCCAGATGTGCTTGCTTTTGTTTTTGACCTTTCAGAATGATGGTACTAAGTTATGCAGTTGCCGTTGTGAATTAACTTCAGCATTGGTTGGTTGGCAATGTATTGATTGCTCTTAGACTATTGAGAAACTTCTGAATTTGATGTTGCAAGTTTGAGTTCTTACTGTATATAGATTGTGCCCTCAAATGCTGGCTTTTCCCCCCTCTAATTCATATCTGCAGCTCTTAGAGCTTCCTGTGCAATGGGCTCAAGCTCACAGTCACCATCATAGCTCCCCCCTGAAGTGTGTGACAAGTATTTTAAATATGCTCCCTTCCTGAATCTTCCACTGAGCATTTCCCCAAACTCTCCCACTGCCCCATTCCCTATCTGCTAAAAGCATCATGATTTATGTAGTTACAAAGCAGAATAAAATACAAAAGAATCGCTCGTAATTGCTTTCTCCTTCTCCCAGTCCATCACCTTCTCTAACCCCTCAGTAGTTTCTACCACTGCACTGTTGCAAATGTCAATCACTTGTTACAGCTTGGTTTGGGCCACTGTCATCTTTTCTCTGATCCACCAAGGTCACACTGGCTTCAACATCCTTTTCTCTGCCCTCTGAGAGTCAACAGAGTGGCGTTTTACACAGTGGTCAGATCATACTGTTCCCTAGATGAGAACCCCTTAGGATTTCCCACCTCCCTTAGGATCAAGTCCAGGCAGGGCACCTGCTCTGCACATGCACGGGGACTGGGCCAGCACCCACAATGTCCTGGGCATTATCTCCACCCAGACTCCCTTGGTTGTCTCTCACTAAGCCATGTTACCTAGTCACCAGCCCCTTCGCACATGTTGTGCCCCACCCCCACAGTTACCGTCCCTCCTTCCTTCCCTGCTTCTGGTTCTTACCCATGTTAGTTTCTTGGGAGTCTTTTTTCCCCATCCTATCTAAACTGGAGCACATTCTCTCCCAACTTCACATTTTCCCTGCCTGACTGTCTTAGCACTGCCGTCTGAACCCATCCATACCTTTATCTATTATTTTAAATAATATCTGTTTTTACCCTTTCAACGTCACCTTCATAACGATAAGCTGTCCCCATTGGCTACCTTTTTCTCTGGGTCTAGAGTAGTGCCTGGCACATCAAGGACATTGAAGGAGAGGAGCGCAGGAGTAGAGCTCAGAGAAGCCATAGGGGGCTCAGGAAAGAGTGTAAGGCCACGGCCCAAAAGTCACGCTGCCTCCTCACTCTTGTGCTTCTCCCGTGCAGCCTCAGGCCAGTCACTGAACTTCTCTGGGTTCCGTTTCCCAGTGACAACAGAGGCTGCTAAGTTTTCCTCTCTAGTCTCAGATAGCAAGGACTGTAGGGTGTACTATATGGTTTCTGTCACAACTGCTCCACCACAGCCTCTTGTATAAGATACCTGTTCAGTATATAATGAAATGGTATGGCTGTGTTCAAATCAAGCTTTATTTATAAACAGAAAAAAACAGGCAAGATTTGGCCCTTAGTCTATAGGTTATAGAGTGATTTCCAAAATTTACTCCCTCTAATATTCTGGGCTCTTTTACTTAGATTTCAGCTTCTGTTTAAAAAAATAGTAACTTTAGACGGGATTGGGGGCTTTCTGTACCCAGTTTCAGTATTTGGTAAGATTTACAGCCATCATTAGGTAGAAATGGAAAGAGAGGGAAGCTGTCTTAAGGAGGGAGAGCCTCAGCCTCGATCAGATCATGCTTGGAAATTAAAGCTGAGAATCTTCTGGTGCTTGATTCCTGGATAGAAGCCCATGTCATCTGCACGCACACTGTGATAAGCATAAATACCCACATGGAAACTTCCTCCAAACTCCAACAGACTCTCATTCCTTTGCCACACTCTGAAGTAGGCAGGGCATCCATATTAAAATGAGCAAAAGCCTACATCTCAATCCCCTTGAGATGCGAAGGATGGAAGAGGTCCACCTTAGACTGGTGATGCCCACAACAGCATCCCTAAGACCCAATACTAACCTGCAAAGGTGAATCTCTCCAGCCAGAGTTTCAGACCCACCAAGTGGCAGTCACATTTCCAGGGGTTGTTCTTTAGAAGTACCAGCCTCACCTTGGGCATGTCCTCCAGAAGTGTACGCTCCAGATGATGGAGACTATTCCGCTGCACGGCGAACACAGTCAGGTTCTCCCAAGGCTTGCCCAGGGACGTGGGCAGGAGATTGAGGCTGTTGGATGACAGATCCAGCTGCCTGAGCCCAGGTAGGGCATGGGCAAGGCTGGTTTCCAGGGAAAGCAGGGAATTTTGGGTTAGGTTTAAAACCTCCAAGTGCCGCAGTCCGTAGAAAGCCTCTGACGCCAGATTCGAAAGAGAGTTGTTGGATAAATTTAGGGTGCTGAGCAGTGGCACGGACCTAAATGCAAGAGCAGGAAGCCAGTGGATCTGGTTATCTTGTAAGAGCAGGGTCAGCGTCCATGGGGGTAGATCAGCAGGAATCTTGGACAGCCCCTGGCCACTGCAGTCCACAGAGTTCGAAGGTCGGTGGCACAGACATTTCTTGGGGCAGCTGCCCACACCTGGAAGCAGGATGCTCACACTGGAAAGCAGCAGCAGCACGCCTGAAACAGAGGGGAGAGCCGACCACTGTATGAGCAGCGGTCGCTACCAGCCAGGGAATTCACAGGTAGTGTGGTCCTGAGCCGGCAGTGTCTTCCGGCTACCTAGAAAGGGAGTTCTAGTCCTCACTTTCTTAGCAGAACGGAACTGAGCACACCCAGCCCGTCACTTAACCTCTTATCGCGGCCTTGGAGAAGAGGCTGGAAGGCTGGCCTGACACGGGGAGGAGAAAGTCATTCTGGAGCACATGTCCTTTGGGGTTCAGACAGCAGAGGTTCTGACAGTCACACTTCTGAAGGGAGCTCTGCCGAGGGCAGGCCAATTGAGCTTTGTATGGCTGTGGAAATGTTCTGTGTCTGTCCTCCAACACGGGTGTCGCTAGCCACCTTCAGTAACGACAGTTACTGAACTCACAAAATGTGACTGCTGCAACCCAAGAGCTGACTTTGAATTCTGACTTGGTTTTAATTCATTTAGTCTTAAAGGATCAGACAGGACTTCAGGTGACTGTACTGGTTAAGGCATACCCTACAAACAGCTGTAGCAGGGACAGCCCCATCTGTGACGATTGTCTCTGCTCCGTTTCTTTACATAAAGTTTTTAAACTTACCCCTAAATTATTAGAAATAACACGATAAGCATCCTTATTTTGGTAACCTGTGGCAGCCACTCAGGCTGTTGGACTTGCCTCAGCTTGCTTTCATTGGGAAGCATAGTGCTTGCATGGGCAGACAACCCTTCTCTGATCAGCCCAGCATTTTCTCATAGAAACCCATGCACAGACTTACTGGGTTGACGTCTTTAGATATTTTCAAAATCACAGTGACTTTCTGGGATGACAGGTATGTGTCATCACATCCAGGTTTTATGGCACAATGATAGCAGAGCTGAAATGCTCGCAGTACTTCCAGCCGGGGATGAAATGGGGGCAGAACCTATCACCTGAACGCTCTCATTAGACCTTTGGAGTTATCTAAGGATTTCTCCCCCTGAAGCTGAGGACTAAACCCAGGGTCTTGCACTTGCCTTGCAAGTGCTCTACCACTGAGTCAAGCCCACAGGTTGTAAAGGTGCTATCATGTGCTCAAATTCTCTTCACTTGCTCCAGGACCCAGCATTTCCAGACTTGCGAAGTATTAGAAACTTGTCTTGAAGGAGACGGTTAGATATTCCTTCTGATTTTTATTCCCACAATTGCTGGAGATGCTCTCCAAGATATAAAAATATTATTATGAGCTTTGTAAAATGCAGAGGTTAATAAGAATAATAGCAGATGACCAGACAGCATGCACTTCTGGGCAAGGATCACTCTTATTGTTTTATAGCTACAGATTCACCCTAATGACCTTGTCAGCATGGTTTTTTGCCTTCAGCATTTATAAGGAAGAAAGAGAGGTACAGAGAGGCAAAGTCATTTCCCAGAGTCACAGAAATAGCAGACAATAGAAAATGGTTTGAACCCACCCTGTCCACAGAATCTGTGAGAATTCTTATCTGCCATACTTCTCTACCAAATACTCGAGAGCAATGTGTGGCAGCAGTCGGGGAGGGATTTGTATGGTGCTGAACTGGTTTTAAAATAAATAATTTAATATATAAATAAATATATAAATAATTTATTATATAAATAAATATATAAATATATAGATAAATAAATTTAATATAAATGTAATCATAAGTGTATCCTATCTGCAATCTGTTCTATTTAGTCAAAACTGTCTATCCACATGGGTATTTAAAAGTTTCTTCGTTTCTTTTAACTAATATGGTGTGTTCTGTATGTGACCATGTCAAATGCAGTATCCACTTCTCTCATCAAGAAAGGGGCATTTGAGGTGCCGGGGTTCCCTTCTCTCTTTATCACAAATGATGCTGTAAAAGCTCCCTGATCCAGCACTCCACGGTTATATAGAGATGTGGGGGAGGACTCCCCAGAATCCAGAGTGGGGTTCATTGTAAGGACTGATATTTTCTTAAAAGACTGCTTAATCATTTTTCAAAGTTCGGTCTCCCTCCCTTTTCCTCTCCTGGGATTTGAATTTCTAAGTATGGCAAACATCTGTCAAGGGCACTTGTTTGAACCGTAGAGGCATTTACAGTGCCACTGAATGCTATTCAAAACCGAGAATGCTTATCAGCACGAAGGCTTTCAAGGGAAGGTTATGTGTTTGTTGGTGGTTTGGGCTTCACCTAGGGGGAAACATAGCATGACTGTCAAATGTACTACGTCTTGATTTCCCTGCTTTGAACTCTGCTCCTGGCTTTAGTGCCCAGGCCTGTGAGGCAAGCAAATGAGAAGCTTTCCAAGGGGTGTTGCTTGCTTTGATTTAGTTCAAGAGACGTGGAAAATCACAGTCCTTCCTCAACAAAAGGCTACAGCCCTTGTTTTTCTTTCTGTAATTTTTCAGATATCCAAATGCCTTCTTTCAAAGCCCAAATGTCTTTCCATTAGAAATCACCGACATCATCACTGTTGTCTGAGACAGAAGTGTTAATTAGTTGCAGGGGACCAATTTTCAAAGTCTAGAGTATGTTTCTTCACCCAGTCCACTTATAAAAACAAAAACTTACCTTCCTGAGATGGGGGCCAGTTTGTTCCTCTTTTCTTGACCTCCCACTTCCCCAAAGGGAATAATAAATGAGCTCCAACGCAAGGTACCACATTGTCTATGAAATGGCCCATGGCAACCCAAGTGCGTGTCTACACCACAGCAACACACATTTGTCTCCAGCAACCCCCCACCTCCGCCCCCCCACTCAGCACGATGAAACATTCATCTTCCCACTGAGAAGTGTTTTTTGCATCTGTCCAATGTTTTAAGAAAGACAGGTTGAAATTGATTTCTCAGAGCCACTTCTCCGAGGGGACCCCTTCCTTCTCTCCGTGGGTGACTTGTGGGGTAGGGGCAGTGGAATTCATTACCGCTCACCTTTCATGGCTCAGTCTCTGCAGTGCGAGCCCTCCGCCAACAGGAACCCGCTTTGTGTGCTTAACAGATCAACACACCCAGGCCACGGCAAGCCTGACGTCCAGCTTTCTATTCACTTTTCCGGGATCCAGCATGGGCTTTCTCTGCTGCAGAAAACAGTCACTGCGTGCAGGAGGTCACTGCTTTAAGCAGCCCACCCCCTTGTCCCCGTCTGCTGTGGTCCTTTTCCATAAGAGGATCTTTTGATTGTGTCCCGTCTTTTTTCTCACAGTGTCAGCCTCCCTGGGATCTCCTCTGCCTCCCCCATTCAGACAGCGAGCCACATAAAGAATGTTGGTCAGACCTTACTGAGCAGCTGTAGCATTCGAACATGACCCCGGTGGCCCGGCCTTTTTGATTATTTAATCTGCTTGAAGTCCAGGGCACCAAAATAAAACAGCCTTCTTAATCCGGCTGTGGCTTCTGCATTCTGTTGACTTATCAACCATGCTGTGTCAACCCTCACTGGGCGGGGGTGCCTGAAACAGATCCCCAACTCAAGGGTCTCGCAACACAGCCAGCCAAGTGTGTAATATGAGAACAAATTGGCCTGCTGGAGGCTAACACCGTTTCTACGCTGCACTTCTTTGGCTATCAAGGGTGCATTCTGCCCACATCCTTGGAGAATAGCCATATTGACAGGTCTCCATGCCCTGAAACACACAGCCATGGTCCTTTCGAAGACATTCCCAAGCCCTCATCCCCAGTGCCACAAATATGTCTCAGCTACTTTGCTGTTTGATCCATGCCCGCTTCCTCCTCCCCCTCATTGAATTGACCTCTGGAGCTTCTGACCTTCTGAAAGCACGAAATACTCGATTTTCTCCACTCCCTAATGCCGAGGTTCCCAAATGCTGAGGTTCCCGGCCCTTTCTCAATCCTCTTCACATAGGAAACAAGAACTGACCCTGTAGGAGCTGGCCAGCAATGAACTTCCTTGCTTACCAGTAGCCAGTGCTGCTAACTTCCCTAATGGGGATAGAACCATCTCTTTGAATGTACAAATGCCTGGCCATTGACCAAAGTGGGCTTCCGGTACCTGAAGTGAGCCTGTTGTTACACTCCAGAATGCTCCGCAGACCTTCTGTGACTGGTCAGGTGACAAAGTCACTTTTTATTGAGGTTGCATAAAGTAAACCTCTGGCCCCAAGTATAGTTGGGCAATTGAGTGTGAACTCTGGGGTCAGATAGGTCTGAATTAAGCTTGCCCATATAAACCTTCATCTCGTATGGGGCTAATGGTACTTAGTGCTTTACAAGATTGTGTCCAGGATTAAGTTTAGCCCAGAGTGACTTCATGAGGGTTACCCAAGGGTGCAATGACCCTTGAGAATACCCCCAGGACTTCTGATCTGCTCTCAATAGAAGAAGTCCGGGGGTAGCTTGACTTCTCATACCATTCTGAGGTAGTCGGTTACTGAGGGAGGCAAGGAATCCCCTGTATGTGAGACCTGATACTGTATGCTGTTCTTCTGAATAGTTCCTTGGGGGATATTTTTCTCCTGTGGACAACCTGCTTCCCACCCCATAGACTCTAACATGCCCACCCTGTCATTTCTGGAAATAACTCTTGATTCAGCCCGTGCCTGTTGTCCCTTCTCTTCGGCACCTTTTGCGTCCAAGGCAATGGAGACAATTAGGAGACTGTGTCCTGTTAATTCTGTTAATCTGGAGATTAACAGGAAAGGGCTAATTGTGAAGAGCCACATCCATTTCAGGATAGAGTAAATGTTTTCTTCCTCCTCCATTCCTTCTTCCCCATGTTTCTTCCTCATTTTCATGTACCTGCAATGTAATGATAATTGTTAGGATTTTCTTAAAACAAGCCTCTCCACCGACACAAAGAATTCCAATCAGACCGAATTAACCCGAATAAAAGATGTCCATGTTTAATGCAATGCTCCTTGGTGGCACCCAGAAAGCATGGAGAAGGGAAGAGAGAGAGAAGGAGAGACCATGCAATACCCAGAGACCACGTGTTTGTTCATTCTCTGGGGCGCAGTTTAAGTAGCCTGTGGGAGTGGTCCTGACCCTCCCTGGGGAAGTGTCACCATTTGGTGGGCTTTCTCAGAGATGGAGTTCGGACTAAGGCAACTCCCAGGGGAAGAGATTTGAAATGGAGTTCTTGCCCAGTATTCCAAAGATGGGTGCCAGGGGCTGGGTTGAGGCCCCGACTATAATATTCCAGACTCTCTGTATAAAGGGGTGTTAGGGAGCTAGGGTGATGCTTTTGACCAAATAATAATTATTGCTCCATGGCATATTACCATGACTGGTGTGCCTGTAACATGCCCACATCAGAACATAATGGACACCTGTAAGCTTCACAACTGTTCGTGAACTCTGAAGTCACATATCTGTCTGCATGCCTCTGTCTTTCCCAGGGATCAGAAAACATTGTGGTGTGTGTGTGTGTGTGTGTGTGTGTGTGTAGACTATATAGTTTCCCAGTGTAGAGTAAAATCAGCCAGGGACAGCCCTGAGCGTTCTGGCATGGTACATGTTCATTTATAAAAAAACTGGCCAAAGCTGCCTTGATCCAGGGGCTGTGATTTGCCAAACCTGTTCGATTTCACCCTTGTGTTCCTGCTGTCACTACTCCACCATGCCACCCTGTCACTCACTCCAAACTCTTACCACCCACCTACAAAGTCACATCCACCATCCGCTCTCCTTATGCGTAAAATGAGAGGTCTGGGCAAGCCTCGGAGCCTGGTCATTCTGGCCAGAAGCACAGACAAATTTGAAAGATACTTTGCTTACCAACCTAGCAGGGTGTGGACAGACTGAGGTCTGGAGTGTTTCTTTGAGTTTTTGTGGCTCTAGTTAGCTTTGTCATGCACAACCCAACTTGGGTCTTGGATTTGGAGGCCTGAACAGGGTATATTAACAGCACAGTAGGAGCTGGAGGCTAGGACAGCTACAGGGAAGTTCAGGGGCTCAAAGACATGACTGTTAGATCAGACTGGATAATGGAAGAAACCCACCTTTGTGCTGTGTTAATGCCCATACAGGACAATCATGGACTCTCTGCGATCAGTGTCCTGTTTGTAGAATTCAGGGAGCTGGAGTTCGGTGTGATAAGCATATAACATGGTTCTGGAAGGGCGAGCGATTCCAAGTGCATGTTCTTACATCTCCAAGAGTCTGAACTGGCTGCTCCCACCTAAAACACAAATGCCCTGGGAACAGAGAGAACCTCCTGAGTAGATGGGGTCCTGGGAGCAGCTGCTTGCCCCAGGGAGCTGTTTGGGTCTGTTTGTTCCTGTAGACTCTCACAGGCAACTCAAAGCTGGGCCAGAGCACACATGGCCTGGAAGGCTCCAGGACACTTTGAAGGACTTTGGATGCGAAGGCTGATTGATTTATTCCATCTGACCTCAGCCAAGAGAACAAAGTGAGGCTGCGTGACCTGCATGCTAATGCCTGCAGCTTTTTCCCCACCCCTAGACAACTGTGTATGCAAAGAGCAGCCCAGGAGAGAGGCCTGATGCCAGTGCCGGCCCAGTCCACCCCTCAGGAGGAAGCCTACACTGGAGAGGCTTCTGCATCAACACCTAGCAGGGCCTTAGTTTCCCCGGTATGAACTTTATATCCACCTCAAAGCAACACATTTCTTCTCACACTGGCGTTTCGAGACGCCCTACCCTCAAAGACACTTTCTTTTCCTTGCGGGAAGTCGCATGTTTCCTTACATGAATTGGTGTAGTTAACATTTCACTTCCCTCCAAAAATAAATCAACAACCGTTATTAACTCTCAAAATTGATGATGTTTGGAGATCCAGCATGCACCAGCTCTTTCTTCCAGGCAATATTAGACAGCTATTTAAAGAGACTAAGTTAGAACTAATTATATCCATCTGGAAGGAGACTTATAATAAATTATTAAGGGAAGGAAAGCAATTTGTAATGAGAATATGTATTGTATGATCCCATTTATGTAACAAAAAAATTAAAAGTCTAAAATGATCCCAACTGGGGCAGGGTGGGGGGGTGAGGTTTCTGAAGATGGGGAATAGTCCCACCCAGCTGGCAGTGCTGTTAATTAGGTGACCCTGGTGATTTAAGAGAAGAAGAAAAAGGACATTTTGGTTTTTGTATTTATCCTTCTCTATATCCTGAACTCTATGTCCACAACAAGCCTTGTTTAAGTCTGTCATTTAAGAGCTAGGAAGGAAAAGGGCTTCTTTTGCTAAATACTTTTTACCTACTGGGAAATTTAGATGACCC